TCGTTGATCATTTATTTTATTCCGCTGTGCAGTAGTGTTTAGTGCCACCGGGTCCTAACACAATGCCTACAGCAGACATTTAGGTAAGCACCATGATCTTTCTTGCCCATTAGATTACTGTGATGCCAGATTAAAATTTGGTTATATGAACAAAGAAATTGAAAGAATTATCTGACTCGGAAAATATGTGTCCACTAAAAACTGTTCTTTTTATCCTGTAAGATTCAATGAAGATTAACAGAATATTTTGCTGTAAAAACTCTGGAAACGTGTTGTAGAACTGAGGCGCGTAAACCATCGTCCCTTTTATTGATCAACATACAAGTAGAAATATGCCGAAAATGTGATATGGTATTGTTTGATAAAACTGAGATCAACATTCAACTCTGAAAAATAAGACCCAAATGCCGGCTCCTCCCAAACCTTGTGCATAACGGGAGTTTCGTGCACTGGGTTGCCCTTTATTCAACGTCGCTGGCAAGCAGTTTATTATATGAGCTTTTTGAGGAAGGTGATAATCAACTGATTGACCTGTTCAGGAAACTGCTCTTGTACAAAATGACTGCCTTCTGGTAAGAATATGGTTTCCAGATTAGGCACATATTCTTTCACCATTCCACTTTTAACGTATTGCTCTAATCCACCAAATTTAAGGGCGTAATCCTTCTCTCCCATTACAAGCAAACAGGGAACCTTGACTTTGATATCTTTAACTCCATATTCTTCTAGCCAAGCCCTGTCAAAATACCCTCCCTTTGTCACAAGATCATAAGTGCTAAATGAAATGAAGAAATTTTTACAAGAATTAACCCAAATAACTGTCCATTCAACCACTTAAACTAAAAATAGTCGGTAAATGTATAATGTATGTCTAATCCATATATAATATATTTATGATTATGTATAATCAGTGTATAATCTGGGTTTATAGGCTAGAAAAAGTAAATAAGGAATTTAGCAAGCTATCTGTGTAAAAATTCCAAAATTTCTATTGGATAAATTACATGTGCAGTATCATTTAGAGAGTTTCAGCAACAGAAGCGAATCCAGTTCAAGATTTAGAGTCAGTCGGAGTAAAATAAGTGACGATTCACATACTAGTGTGGGAAATGTAATGTGTGACTTGTTTATGCTGTGATTGATAATGAAGGTATCGTTAGGCGATGCTTAATAATGAAGGGGTTGTTATATATATGATTTACTTACTTCAAAAGGGTATTTTGCCTTAAATAGTTCAACGCCCGCATCTACGGCGTAGGCCTTTGTCAGGCCATTATGGCACGATATCGGTTGTGGCATGCCTATGTTAATGGCACAATGTCGGCTGTGGCAGGCAACTATGGCATACGGCCACTATCGACCGACATTATTTTTTCATGTTCTATTCCACGTAAGACAATATACAGTCCTCGCATAATTTAAAGCGGTATTAAATAATATGACATCCAAACATTGCATTAGTTATGTGACAATATTTATTTCTATTAATATGGCCAACTAAATACGGTATTATCTAATTTTGAATACTGTGCTAGGATTAATTAATGTAATTATATCTAATATTAGAATTTAAGTAGAAGTGACTGACCTGTAAGGCACCTGCAATGCTGTTCGGAAACTTGACTTTTCGTAAAGAGATGCGTAGTTTGCAAGATCCTCTCCTGTGAACCAGTCAGGCACTGGAGCAGAAGGATCAACCAAATCCATTATTTCCTCATCATCTTTTGCAATTGGCAGTTCACTTCCAGAGAACATAGTATATATGTTCTTAACTACTGTTTTTGTATCAAAACGCCCAAAGTCCTTTTCAGCTCGCCCTGGTTCCTGCAAAAGCGGAAAGAATTAATGTGTACGCAGACCTTACCCCTACCTCGGGGATAGAGAGGTTGTTTCCGATATACCATCATTTCAAGAAGACGAGAATTATTAGTCTAGCTGGTGACCGGAAAATGTTTTCCCGAAAAACATATACTATTAAGGATTGTTCATATTATTAGCAAATTTGGGAGTATTTTGATGAAAATGTTGAATTCCATAGATTAATTATAGTGCCAAAATGTTAGTTGAAGCAAGTAATATGAAACTTAGCGTCTTATAGTTGTAAGGAAAATACTAGCTTTGGTCGGTGAGTGAAAAATGTTTTCACGGAAAACATATAGTATTATATATATATTACTCATATTATTAGCCGATCAGAAGTATTTCGATGAAAATTTTGAATTCCAAAAGTTGAATAATGTTTAAAGCCAAGATAGTTGTAAGGAAAATAACATTTGTTTATAAATAAAGTAAGTTATTTTCCTCACATTGGATGAAAACGACTCCCCACAAAAATTAGTTTCTTGATTTTTTTTTTGTAATACCAAATATATGAGGTTTAAAGACATGAAATTACCTGCCATCTCAACATATAGAACCCATTGGGAATGAGATCTCGAGGAAATGTTTCTGGACCAGTGAGAAGAAAGGGCACACCTAATGTTACAACAGTTGAAACTCTATCAGGGTGTACGAGTGCAAAATGGTAAGCTACTCGAGCTCCAAAATCCTTCCCCACAAGAAAAACCTACATAAATAATGGCAGAATATTTTAGTAAATTTGTTACTAAAGACGCATAGACAACAAAATTTAAGTGATTTTTTTTTAATCTATCTAAGTACTCAGAGTTATCAATATCGTGAGGGAAATGGTCTGTGAATTTGATGGGTTTAATTGAACCTATCATTTTTAACGTTGTATATATTATATACATTCGGAAAATCACTAATTTCCATAGGTGGATGGACTATAGATTCGATGGGTTCGAGAACCTATCAATTTCAACATGGTACATAAATAAGCATGCAAAAAGAATCAATAAACGACAACATTTATATATATATNATTTATTTATTTTCTCCTTTTTTTTGGCTTTTATCCCTTTTTCCCCTATTTATGTGCTATTTAAAAAAGAAATATTCTTCTTTAACTAATTTCAACAATCACTAAATTAAAAAATCAAAACATCATATCATTTCACTTTTCTTTCTCCCATGTGTTCGGCCGTTACTAACATAATGAACTCATTTATATCTTTGCTCATTACTACTATTATTTATTTCTTCTCCTAAAATTCCTCCTCTTCCTTCCTAATTTCTTACCCCTTTTCCTTCTTCTTTCCTACTTTCTCCATTGCAGATGAATTATGAGTTGTTCTTTTTTCTTCTTTTTTTGTGTATGTATCTTTGAAAAGGTTGAAATTTATAACGTTAGTTGTTACTATTCATCTTTGCTTTTTTATTTCTTTTACTTTTCTTAATTCTTAGTCGAAAACAATTGTCATTTTGAAATATGTTTGAAACTTTTTCCTGCTTTAATTGCAGAAAATTAGAATATTATTGTGCTTAATGTATTATAAGATTCTGATGTTTTCTTTCTCCTTTTTTTTTATTGATTTTGTTTTTATGTTTTTTGCAGGTTGATTAATGCTGTGTGTAGTTGCTGCATTTGGATTAATTTGTTTCAAGGATAATGTTAAACCGTTTTCTAGATGGTATTTTCTGGAGCAATTGCACTTGTAATTCAGAAGACGTTTAAGTCTATCAGTGGTAATTGATGTTGTATTACCTTTTGCCAATAATGTTTTCTTTATCCTTTTTAATTTCATTGATTTTAGTTTTGTGTTTTTTGCAAGTTGATAATTAGTAGTGTGTTTAGTTACTGCATTTAGTTTATTTCATAATTTCTAAGGATATTGTTAAATCGTTGTCTAATGTGCATTTTCTGGAACAATTTGTGATTTAGAGGATTTTAAGTCTATTATGAGAATGGTAATTGATGTATCATTATCTTTTGCCTGAAGTGTTGGTTGATAAAAAAAAAACTTTGCCTACAAATTTAGTTTTATGTGAAAAAGGAATAAAGATCAATTAATTTTATGGTTTTATGTTTTGTTTTTATTAATTCTCGTATTTACACCTAAACTATATATAAGGTTTTAAGTACAAAAAAATTTGTTCAACTATCTCCGACTTTCCCCCTATTTTTCCTTCTCTTTCTCCTTTGATTTTCAAATAGTGGATGAAGTATCTGCCTCTATAAAATAAACTTTTAAGCAAGGCGGTGTTTAGGACAACTTTTATTTGAACATTTCCATTGTTATGAATTCTGATCAATTTGGTTGTGCCTTTGTGGAAAAACATTTCTCTTTCTTTTTAGTACATGATGAATATGAAGTACATCTTATCGTGCATATTCTGACCTCTTATACCTATTCATAGTCATAATTGATAGTACAATTTATAAAAAGAAATTTACTATTTGTATAATACTTATCCAGCAAAATTTTGTTTTGTTTGTATTCAGACATAATGTTAGATTTTTTAACTTACGGATTCTGATTCACAATATTTTTTACTTACTGGGTTCTACAATTAAAAAAAAAAGAGGTACTTACTGGCGAAAATTGATGGGAGCAAAGATGACTATATATGAAATAATGAAGAGAGTATAAAATGGAAAGCAAAAACTATTTGAGGAAAAAAATGTATTTTTCAGATTTTTTTTCGAAAATTAGCAGAAGGAAAAAGAAGAATAAATTTGATTATTTTAAAAGGAATAACAAATATTAAATATTTGGAGTACAATAACAAAGGGGTCCAATATGAACGAGTGAATCAAATAGAAGGAAGAAATGAGTAAGAAAAGAAGAGGGAAAGGAAAAGAAGAACCGTGGGGGGGGGGGGGGATAAAGAAGGAAAAATTGGAAATAAAACTATCATTCTATAATAGATGAATAAAATATAAATCACGTCTTATATACATATATTTTTAAGAAATTGATCTTCAACAAATACAATCAAATAAACACTAAATGCACACCAAAGTATCTTTTACTCAATAACTTATGAAAATATAAAAAACGAAAGTACTTTTTAAGAAATATAACCAAATATACCTACTATAATTGGAAAATATTAAAAAACGAATCTAAAGTCTCTAAAAGCCTTTGATAGAGTTTTAAAATTAGTAGAAAATATTTTTCTTTTTAATTTATCTTCTCCTAAAATGAGAAGACTTTCAAATCTTTTCCAAAGTACATTTGGTAAAATTTTAGGAGTATGAATAGTGGAGTACTGATGATGTATGACGAGCAATTGAGTTTTATCGAATTATTATAACAAAAAAGATGTAATTTTACTTGCCTATATTATTGTTACTATAATATCAATAGACGTTAACATGATATTTATAGGCGAGACCAATAAATTCTCATGGTTTTTCTTCCTTTTACCTCAATTCACTTAAAAAAAATTATCTCATAAATCCATTAATATTTTTTAACAAAATAACCGCGCAAAGCGCGTCAAATTCACTAGTATACCATAATCTCAAAAGAAAAATAGGTTCAACCTAGGAATCTTAAAGGTTGAACCGATCAAGTTTATATTCTAAGACTTACCTCTGCCCATACTTGTATAGCTAGGAGGTAACGGATACCTAATGAAATAGTTAAGGCGTGCAAGTTGGCTCAGTCACCATGATTATTGAATATAGCGTACTTGGGTCGTCATATAAACTAATACATTCTTTGACACAGGGGATGGGGGGATGCAAGGTTGAGGTACCCGGTTCATATGAACCCAAATTGTTTTACACAAAACATGAATTTATATATAAAATCTATTACAATTGCAATAAATAGTAGATATAAACTCATAGCTTTTAAAATATAATTGGTTTAATGCTATGAAGCTTAATATTGAATACATAAAGCTTAAATTCTGAAGTTGCCAATGCTTTGTTACGATTTGATGGTAACTACTGAAAAATTTGACTTCTAAAAAAGAAACAACAATCTGATGTAAGTAGTAATATGTAATCTGCACAGGATTCTTCACCTGGTGGATGCCTAATGAATCAAGCATGTCCAGAAGATCATCGACAAGGTCCCTGAATGTCGTCTTCTCCGGTTCTGCAGGCAATTCAGACAAACCATAGCCTCTGAAGTCAGGGGCTATGCCTCGAAATCCTGCATCCGCTACTGCTATCATCTGATGCCTCCACGAGTACCATATCTCAGGGAATCCATGAAGAAAGAATACTGCAGGGCCTGCATATATATAGCTACTTTAATTTCAGTATCAATTATTCACGTTACAGACAGTGGTGGAACCAGGATTTTTACTAAGAGGATTCAAAATATAAAGAATCAAGCCCACAAAGAAGGCATAGGGATTCAACATCTACTATATATGCATGAAAAATAACTTTGAACGCGTATATACAGTGTAATTTTCTGACGAAAAGATTCTGACGATGAACCCCTAGCGTCCCTAACTCCGCGCTAACAGAGAAAAGAAGATGAGATATGGAGTAGGACCTGTTCCAATCTCTGCAATGTGAAGCTTGAGTCCTCTTACATCCACATAATTGTGCTGAATCTTCTCCATTTTCGTAAGGTAGGAAGGTTTGATGGGAGTGCAACAAAAATTAAAGAGAATTAATGACAAGTCAATGTGTTATTTTAACTCATAAATGGATGCTTTTTATAATGTTAAGTCATGTGGTTCATTCAAATATTTAAATAACTTACTAAGATTTTATTTTAATTTGTTATCTGCGCCTGCAACTTTGTTAATTTTTAGGAAATTTCCGCATGTTTTCTTAGACTTTTCCTAGTGTCTACCTTGATTGACTTTTCCACCATTGAAGTAATAGCCTGGACAAACTTCTAAAATTAATTTATTTTTAGAATTTTTTTTTCAGAAGTACGTTTTGTGAGAAGTTTTGTGTTTGGATACTTTGTTTGAAAAGTACTTTTGAGTATAATTAGTGTTTGATCAAGCTTTTAAAAAATGTTCTATGTGTATTTTTCTCAACAATATTTTTCAAAAAAGTACTTTTTGAGAGAAACTACTTTGTCTGCTTCCCAAAAACTGTTTCTATTTTTCCTCAAAAATACTATCTTTTCCATCTAAAAGCTTTGGCCAAACATATCATAAGTTTTAATTGTTGTTTTCTTTCTATACAAAGGTAAGCCTAGAAATCCCTTAATGGGTACTCTGTTTCTTTTTTCTTTGAGTTGGTCTACGCCTTTAAATAGTGAAATGCGAAACTATGAAATTAAGGATAGTAAGAGGGTTGTTTGTGTGGAGTGGCAGTTCATTAACTCCGTGATGGTCCCGTCCAAATTTCATTTATGATGCTAACAGTGTGAAGAATTTTTATATTATAAATACAAATTTAACATGATCTTTGCAACCAAACAGAGTATATTTGCTTAGAGTAGAAGAGGAGTGGGGTATTCTAAGAAACAACATTAGTTTATAATAGTTATTTATTATAAAAGTTAAGTTTTTTTTGGAATCGATTTTTATATTATTATAATATATATATTCTCTATAACATCACTGTAACAAACAAAAAATATCGAAATAAATAAAAATTATAATAAAAAGATTTGATCTTACTATCAGCTTAGGCTCATGAAGGTATAGAATATTCAAGCACTAAGCATGAGGGTTGAACAAAATGGAAATTGCCCTCCTCTCTCATTTCTCCGGTCCAGTTGTCCTTATCACCAAAATGGTGGGTGAGATGGATTTCAAGATTTGAGCTTCAATTTTTGAGGTTTTTAGCTTTGAATTTATTATATTTTTAAAATTATGGTTCATATTGACTTTTTATTACAATTTTAGCATATTTTTACGTATAACTTTATGCTCTACGTTACAAATATTGAGTTCTACTGAACATAACGATAGATCCTGTGTGAGTAGGGGTGCTTATCGGGAGGATCGGGCGGATAATTATGCTTAACAGTTCGGCTTAACGGTTATCAGATTATAACTGTAGTAATCTGCTAGTCATCCAATAAGACAACGGGCGGATTGGTATTGCATTAACAATTATCTGACGACTTATTGGCTAAACCTAATAGAAATTTTTTGAACAATCATTCAATCAATACGAAACAGTTTCAAATCAATACCAAAATTTTAATACCATCTAAGATCTAACCAAATGGTATTTTTTAATTGAAGAATCTTCAAGATTACTCATACTGTCATACATGTATTAACCAAATTATTAGTACCATCAAGACTACTCACACAGACATACACGTATTATATACATAAGGGTAAAAGTGTAATTATAAAAATTCTTAACGGGTTAACGGTTTACCAATAAAAAAATTGAGTAATCCGCCCCCAAACCGTTAAGCCATATTATAAAATCTCAATCTGTTCATCATCCAATATCCCCGATAATCCGATATCAATAAGCCAATAAACCATCGATTCGGTTCGGTTAACGGTTTCGATTCGGTTTTGAACAGCCTTATGTGTGAGAGTAGAGTGTGGAGATTGATATGTAGAACAACTTTTCTAATATGTGGAAAGGTCAAGTATTTTGGCTCACTCAACTAGCATTTCATTTGTATATTTCCTCTTGATATTGTAGTGGACAAAGATTGGCTTCATTATGCTAATTATATCCCATCTTTGAATAGTGAAATGCGGAACTATGAAATTAAGTACCGTATCAACTCCGTTCCTGTGGGAGGGGTGCGAAAATTATTAGAACTTTATGAAAGTGTCTATAGAGTCAGAATCAGGGCGAAGTTAGTAGCCCAACTTTTGTTCGAGCGAAGCAGTAACTTTTATTTAAATAATATATTTGTATTAAAAAATTATTAAATATGTAAAGATAATAAATTTAGAATCCAACTATTAACAATTAAAATCACAATTCTAAAATTCAGAACCTATAAGATTAAAATTCTGACCCCATTTATAGCTTAAGTTCGAATGACTATACTTGTCGAGTAGTTATTATTTTTGTGGGGATGTTATTGATTGTCATGACAAGTAACTGATCAAACAATATGCTAAAAAGAAGAAAAAAAACATGTCAAGACAGTTTATGTCACATCGTTCTCTACAGTACGAGCGTTGAATTCAGATTTTAGATATTGGTCCAAATTAATACAACTCCTAATGGTCCATGAAAAAGAAATACTACTAGCTTTTTACTCATGAAGGTGTAGAATATTCAAGGGCTAAGCATGAGGGTTGAACAAAATGGAAATTGCCCTCCTCTAATTTCTCTAGTCCAGTTGTCCTTATCACCATAATTGTGAGACCAGAGAACGAATTTCACGATTTAACTCTATGAGCTCGTTTAATACGAGGGATAATTAATCTCAGGATTAAATTTGAGATGAGTTTATCTCACGTTTGGTTGGAATAAAATCGTGGTATAACTAATCTTGGGACTAGTTATCATGAGATTATAGTATTTTTTTATCCCCGTGAGAGGGTGAGATAACTAATTCCGGGATAATTAATCATAGGATAGCTTGTTTCCCAACCAAACGACCCTTATAGGTTCAACCTTTGAGATTCTCAATCTTAAACTTATTATATTTTTAAAGTTATGGATTTATATCTATTGTATGTTATGCATAATTTTAGTATATTTTTATATATAAACCTCAAAAATATTGAGTTCAGCTGAACCCGATCCACTCCCGCGTGAGAGTAGAGTGAATGGTTTTGGCAGGGGTAGCAGACAAGATGACGGAGTCTGTGGAGAGTGATATGTAGCACATCTTTTCAAATATGTGGAAAGGTCATGTATTTTGGCTTACTTAACTAGCATTTCATTTGTATATTTCGTCTTGATACTTTAGTGGACAAAGATTAGCTTCATTATAGTAATTATATATATTCCATGAGAGTGCACATTTTTTCCTTGTGGTACTGAGAAATCCATGGGTTAACCAGAAAGTCATGATAAAACTGAGTTTGTTTGAATTGCTTTGCACTCAGTTTTTCAAATATTCCAAAAAGTCTAAAAAATTATTATTATTATTATTATTATTATTATTATTATTATTATTATTATTATTATTATTATTATTATTATTAGTGAAAACTAGAGTTTTGTCACGATTTATGACAACGCAAGTTCAAGCCATCAACTTTGAATCTTTAGATTTGTGGCCAAATTTCGACTGTCACATCTCCTTTAATGAGATTATTTATTTGATTTAGAGTCGCCACTTGGGATAATTATATGGTGTCCCAAGTCACCGGTTTATTTTAAATCCCAAATCGAGGAAATTTAACTATGTTTTAAAGTCTGCGAAACCAGAAGACCGGGTAAGGAACTCTGCTGAACCCGGAAGAAGGTGTTAGGCACTTCTGAGTTCCGTAGTTTTAGCACGGGCACTTTTAATCATACGTGGCATAATTAAATTGTTGAATTACTCATTTAGAACCTATGTGTATTTCACTTTTACCGCTTTTTAATTATAGAGTTTATGGATTTAATCTTTGAAACAGATTACATGTGTGTAAATCTATTTTATTTAGGTCGCTAAAATAATATCACGCGAACGTATACACAATTAGTCATGCTTTATTAATTGTGAAGATTGTTTTTGGCCAAAATCGCACGAACTCGTACCTTGATTTATTTATGGAAATCATAATTATGTCACGCGAATGTGTATACAATTATGATAGTAGATTGAATGCGCGCCTAAAAGCATTTCTACGAATATTCATTTTTAAACATAACCATATCACGCGAACGTGTATATAATCACAATAATTGATTAAATGCGTGCCTAAAAAGCATTTCTATAGATGTTTATGAATCATTTAATCGTTCAAAGTCATATGTGTGAAGTTCGAATATTGTGGTACCTTTTTTGTGATTAAAACTTGACAAGGATTCGCCCAGCATTTATTCACGTGAGTATGAAGTCGTGAAGGTTCGTTGAATTTTGGGAAAATGAGATTACTTGTACGTGAAAGAAACAACCAATTAACACTACTTAAATTAATTAAAAGTTGAGTACACATGAGCTTCACAAATACGGGCCTGTGCTCGTTACATTGAGCTTGAAGCCCTAACAGTAGAATTGCAATTTATGCAATGTCCAGCTCCTTTAAGTTGTACCAATTATGTCATACATTTAATCATACGACACTACTTAATAATCAGGCAAAACTCTAAAATACATTTACATAATAAAATCAAATCATAATAATACAAGGATTAAACTAAACCAATGTTTTTCTTCTAAGAATGCAAGAATTAATGGATTTTCTTGAAAGGAAAAGTGCAAGGATTTTGTATGTCCGGCAGAGAATGTGTGTGTATGAGTGAAGGAATGTTATGTCTTATATAGGAAAAGAGTGAAGGAGAAAATGCATCTTTTGTATCAGAAAATTGATAAATGTATCTAATTTCAGTATCTTTTCTAACATATTTGTAGACATGTAATTTTTGACCCGCGCATTAGAATCACCTCTAATAGTCCTAGTATTTTTTAGGACATTTATTTGAATTTATTTCTATAGGATTTTACTTTATTACTAATTTTAATTCAATATACTTTTGTTTTTACCATGATTTTCAATTTTATTTTAAATATAATAATTTATATAAAAAATGATATATAAAAATATAGTTTCATAGTATGATATATTTTACTTTAATTAATCATAATTAATTTTAAATTATTTTTGTAAAGAAAAGATTTAAGTTTTCTTAATTGGTAGATTTAAAAGGGTTAAAGTCCAAAATTATAGGCCCAATTCGGATGCTAAAGAGGCCCAAATCTGGGCAGCCCAATCCCATAACCCTTTCAACCCAGCCAACCCAATCTCTTAACCCACGAAACCCACTGACCCGCCCCATCTTTTAATTTTTAATCTCAGCCGTCTAAAACCCCTGGATCCAACGACCACGATTAATCCCCACACCCCCAAATATAAACCTAATATTCACTAACCCTAACCCTAAAGACTACCCAAATCGGCGTCCCGCCTTTCCCAGCCTCTGCCCACGTCCCTTACCCCAAACTCGCCGGAAAAACTCGCCAACCCGGCGAGTTAACTCATGGTCCCTCTTTCCCTTCTCTCTTTCTTCCACGTGGCCTGACAAATAACCGATTTTGGTTCGAATCCGCGTTGTATTTTGCTCTCTCATACGTGAATCTCTTTCAACGGTAGATGATGGACGAAGGGTAGGATATGATTAATGAAAATTAATCATACCCCTCCATTTGCCCAATTTTTTTACCAAAAAGAAGGAGATTTTCGTAATTTTGGTGGGATTTTCGGATTTTTGAAGGGTTTTTGCGATTTCTTGCAAAGGAAGGAGAGAAGCTTCAAGAGAGGGCTATATATTTGGGTCTGGACAGAGATTTTAAGGGGGGATTTCTCGACAGAAAAAGCTAAAAAGATTTTAAGGACAGAGCTTTTCCATTTTTGAGTTTCAATTTGAGTTTTGGTATTGAATCGAGGTCGCTCGAGTCGTCAATTGCTTGCCAGTTGAGGTCCGTTCGAGATCGCGAGTTCCTCTTTCTTGGATGCTGTTTGTCATGGATCTTCACTGCCATATTTAAGTGTATTTGATTGCGATCAGAATTAATTAAGAGCGCTTTCAGGTTCATTTCTTCCTCCTACTCTTGTGTGTATTATGAATCAAAGCCATAGAGGGAGCCATTTAAGATAGACTAATCAGTAGTAGTTTCAGATTTAACTGATTTTTCTTGCTGATTTTGGCTGCTGGTTATTGTTACTCTATGAGTTTCCTTTTGGCGAGTCTCTTCATAAGAGTTTGAATGAATTAGAAATGTGTTTGATTCCATGATATCGCTTTACCGACCTTTTGTTTTCTTTGGTGAATAACGTTGAATGAGTTGCCTATTTTGAAATATGGTAAATGCTAACAATTTTGAAAGATTAACTCAAGTTCATTGTGACAGATTTTTTTTCTTTAATGAGGTTCTGTTATCTGATTTTTCTTCATGTCCCAACCTTTAATGCTAGGATTTTGCTTCATGTGGATTGAAAGGTGGTTCTAGTTATATATTAACTCGTTGTCCCAATTGGATTTGATGGTGAATCGACCTTAAGGTTGAAACAGTGTTTTGTAGTCCTTTATGATTCGAGAAATGAGGTTGTTGGCATGTTGTTTTGCTTTCCTTCGGTTGGTTTAAACCTATATTGAGTCGTGAAGGATCTTCAATTCTCCTAAACTGTTAGGTACATGTAAAAGTAAAGAAAGGAAGAAAAAGAATCTTGTGTTGTTCAAGAACTTATGCCACTATCTTTGCTACTTTCCATATAATCATCAAGTATTTTGAGGTGTGTTTCAATAATATGGATAGATGTTGTCACCATGAAGGCCTCCAGTATATCATTGTTATTCCCAAATTGCATGAGCTGTTCTAAAAAGCTATTTTTTTTTCATTTGAGTAAAAGCTACTGTTCTAAAAAATGAATATGGCTTCCAATGATGTCCAGATTGCAATGAAAATGGGTCAATTCGATGTTCGATTCGTTGTGATTCTTAAGGCTGTTTAAAAACTTTGTTGTTCCTCTTGGATTAATTGTTTTTTTTTGAGATGATGTCTGTTATGCAGCGGGAAGTATGATTGAGCTACTGATATAGTCATAGTGTTGGCTCCTCCTAATGGCCTTGATTCATTTTCCCTAACTTGTAGTAGTTATTACTATTTTAGCTTTCCTTGTTCTTATCTTCTATGAATGCCTACGGTGTTCTGTTAAATGCATTACCTTGCTGATTTAGCGTTGCTGGGTATGGAATTATTTGAATAGTTATGGGGCCATGGGAGTTGGGAGAGAGACTTGGCCTATTAGTGTTAATTTGCTTACTTACTTAGGAATTGGGCTTGGTCGAAATACATGAAAATAATGATAAGTTAATAGAACATGACCCCGAATTGAATTTCTTTTAGTTTTTTACTTATTTACTTATTCTCGTTTTATTATTATTCGCTAGGAGCATGTTAGGCCGGCAACATTTGGGTAGGAAATATTAGGATTTTTCTATTTGCTTGCTTTTAATTTCGGGGCAAGAGGTCGTTCCCCTAGTTGAATTTATTCGGGGAATGCCCTGAATGGTTTGTATATATTATTATCTGGGGTATGTCCCGAAGAACTATGTAAATATTTTGGAAGCCTTGTCGAGCATGGTGGAGAAGTCGTAGTATAGGTTAGCTTAGGATTTTTCTTTTTCTTTCCTTTTCCTTTTATTTTATTAGGCGGGGACGACCTCAAGCCTCATGTGTGTTTATTCTGCTTTTCCGTGATTTTACTTTAACTTGAATATTCTAAAAGCCAATTAGATCGGGTACGCTACTGTACTAGTTATGGGACTTGGAGAGTGCCTAACACCTTCTTCCCGAGTCAAATAAACCCCCTTACCAAAACCTCTGGTGCGGACTTAGTTTTGAGTCCAAGTGTTTTAAAAAGAAAAATATTTTCTAAAAAAACCGGTGGCTTGGAACACCGAAATTACATGCCAGGTGGCGACTCTGAGTTTTCCTTTTGAATACAATCTTTGTCACTTTTTAATTAAAAACTCTTTTCAAGCTTTTACTAAATTACTTTTATTAATTTAAGAGAGTTTTCCAAAACAGTTGGCATGAGGCCCAAATATGACATTCAGCCCAAAACATGGTAATAATTTTCAAAACACAATGATATCAACAAGTTTTCTATCAAATACGCAGTTTAACAGTCATATGGGACGAACTAAGTCATAATCTCCAACGGTGCACTACCCCACACTCGTCATCTACCGTGTGTGTCGCCTTAAAGTAGCACAACGATGTGAAATCCGGGGTTTCATACCCTTAGGACAACATTTACAATCATTATTTACCTTTATCCGGTCCAAACTCTAGCACACGATGCCTTTGCCTCTCGAATCGGCCTCCGAGTGCTCCAAATCTATCCAAAAACAGATTTATACCATTAAAATATGCTAAGGGAACAAAGCCCACTCGAAAATAACCAATTTACATCAAGAATTTCGAAATTGGCCAAACCCGACCCCCGGGCCCACGTCTCGGATTTAGACAAAAATCACAAAACTAGAAGTTTTAAAGATGTTTTCGCTGAACTAAGGTGTTTTATGAGCTTTTACTGTTTTACTGCATTATACTGGTTTTATACTTTTTTGTTGTAGCATTATGCTGTGTTTACGTGTTATCTTATCGCTCAACTACCTTTACTTTTATTACTTACTGAATTGGCATACTCACATTACTTCCTGCACCCTATGTACAGATTCAGGAGTCTCAGGTCATGCAAGCAAAGGCTGAGTGCTTCCACAACAGGCTTGTTCGTAGTTGACTAAGTAGCTGCTCGGCGTTCACAGCCTAATACTTCTCCTACCTATCTTTATTTTCCCTTTGTACTAGCCTTGTATTAGACTATGTATTCTTTTCATATTTTTAGACGGATTTTTAGATGCTCATGACTGGTGACACCCCGATGTCGGGCTCTGTTGTTTCTGCATTGTTTTATTCTATTCTATATTTTGGGATTTATAGCTTATTAATAACTTTAAATGAATTATTATATCTGTTTAGTTGGTTTGGGGGAGGGGGGATTGTGTCGGCTGGCCTAGTTTCACGATACACGCCATCACAATCGGGTCTGTTTTAGGGTCGTGACAAAGGATTTTGTATCCACATGGTGCATGATATGAATTGAGCGAGAAGATTGAACTTCAATTGAGCATGATAACAGTAGCATTTCTTAGTCAATGTTGCTGAACGGCCAAACACCTTAAATGATAAGAAGAATACAACCTATACAATGAAAAGACACAATGTTATCAATAACTATGAGAACAGGAGCAGGCACCACGCAATCGAAAAGATCTTTTACCATCTCTTAAACTCATTTGCCTTCACCTTTAACCTATCATCACGTCACTAAATATGAGGTGAAGCAAGACTCTCAAAGTAGCAAGCCATTTGAACTTGACGAAAATCACCTGACATAAAATCGTCGAGTCGTTTGAATGATGCATTCCTTGAACTGTACTGCATTAGCTCTGCGCCAAGCTGCAATTCTCTGTCACAAACAATAGTGAGATATAATCCCTACGATCAACCGGCAATGACATGGTAACCAATTTAGTCCAAGATTTCTCGACACCATACTCCTTCATTACCCACATATCTGCCTTTTTTGGTTCATAGTTGCAACAAGCAACTAAATACCCTCTTGAAACACCTAATGTCCAATAAATACCTTCATCTTCGTATCTCGGCAGAGCTATTTTACCATATTGCCCTGCAGCCAAATCCAAAGTAACAATCTCCCAAGAATCACTCGAACAATAATTATAACATGCTTCCCAATGAAGAGCCCCATTTACAAACACACCCAACTTTCCATTAATATTACCACTATTAAAACCCTCAACAGTTGACCAAGATTTAGCCTTTAAGCTATAAACCTTAACCATGTTCTCATATCTACCCTCAGCCCGAGGAAAACTAAAGATTTTCACAACCTTATAATCTTCATTACATGAATCATAACCAAATCCATATCTAACATAACAACCACCACTATTATCTTTCAGCATTGAATCAGGAAATACATTAAAATTTCCAGTACATGGGTTGAATAACATTAGTGTAAATCTATCACTAGTTAAACAAATTAACCCATTGCAAGAACCCAAAATCTTAGCAGAGAGAGATAAAGATTTAGCAGGATTACTATGTTTAACCACAGTAAAAAATGAATCTTTTTCAAACCCCATGTTGTAAATATTGCAGATTCTGCCCAATTTAGAAACTGAGGCTATTACAGCAAGTCTAAAATCAGTCATTTTGGGGTTGTTTAAGGTAAAACTGACATGGGTTTTGTTGAATAAAGGAGATGAGATTAAAGAAAGCCATGATTTTGAAACAGACCTGAATTTCAAGAAAGATTTGATAGGTAACCTCAAGAGAATTTCAAAGATGATTTCTTGTGGTAATTGTTTGGCCAAAACTGTTGATATTTCCTCCATTTTTCTATGATTCAAATTGCTTACTATTTTCTTGATGTAACTATGGAGTGTGGAGCTGAGTTATATAGTGGACTTGTCACCCAAGCTTTCAAATTTGGCGTGCCGTCAAAATATTTGTACTTTTTTTTTTGGTCTCCTTTTTTCTAACCTGTCGGCCTGGTGAATTATTACCATATTATAAAAAATAAAACATGTTCCTTCCCTTCCAAAAAAATTGTCTTAACTAAACCATATTTGTATTGCTACAAATTTTCTAAAAGTTGTTATTTTAAATCTATCGTAGTATTTGTATGACTATAAATATTTCCTATTAAAAAAATATTGAAATAGACTAATAAAAAATATTATCAGTCCTTTTGAAATAGAGGGACTATAAGTTAAGGTGTTTGTTAGATTTGATTTTTATTTAAAAAGAAATCAAACTAATTATTAGATGCGATTTTCTTGGTTTCAAATCTTTTGTGGTATTTTTATTTTAATTTTTTCAGTTACTTTTTTGTTACATGAAGTACAAATTCAATCAATTCAATTAACTAGTTATACAAAAACAACTAGACTTATTGATAAAATTCTCCATAAATCAATGTACAATATATGAACCTGTTATAGTAATTATGTTTTCCCTTTATCCTAATTTATGTGATGTTGTTCGTATTTCGAAAGTGAAATAAATTTTGTTTTATTTTGATTTATTTATATGTCTTCTAAATATTTTAAATTATTAATTTTTTTTTTAGTAAATAAAATTTTATTTCACCAAAGAAATTATGTATGGTATCCAAGCAACAAAAAGATCTAGAGTTAGGCATGAAGCCTCAAAACTCTCAGCAACTACAGAACTTCTAAGTAGTTACAAATCATCCGCCTACTACAATCTACTGTAACAACCGATCGGTGTAATTACGCTATGAGTAAAAGTTGAAGCTTTCAAGTCTCCTGGTCATCGTATGCTTCATGTTCCCTATAGAGAATATATCTTGAATCACGTATCTTGTAATTATCCCAACACTTCTTTAGTTATTCTGAAATACCCTTAGATTCCTCTCTTTCCAAATGTAGTAAACACAACCTGCAAAGGCCATTCTATAGATCTTAGCATTGATATTCTTGCCTTTCATCTTGGTAACAACCCAGTGTAGTTCTTGCCGCCATGTCATCACCGGTCTTCTTATCCCTTGCCATAGAAATATCTTTCCCCTTAATTTAGTAGAAATTTTGCACTCGAAAAAGAGACGTGTAATGGTCTCATTCTGCTCTTTACACAAGATACAATTCATTCAATTACAATACCCCATTTGGCCATATTGTCCTTTGTATTCATTCTACCCCAAACAGCCAGGTTTAGAATGAATATCCACTTTGGCGAAGTATAGTTGTTGCAAGTCAATTTCCTCCGTGGAACCTTTACAAAGGCACCACATAACATCTAGTATATTTTTTTTATAGAGAAGTTTTGCATTCGCCTTAGTTCATCAATATCAATACCAACATCTATGAGGTAATGTTTAGCTTTCCGTATCTTCAATAGCATTCAACAGACTTGTTTAGGTTCTATCTCCGAAATTTCTCTCTTCTTAGCATAATAAATGTGGAACCATTGAACCCACAACTTATCTATTTTTCGGCATAAGTTCCACAATAACTTGCATATAGCTCCTCTATTCCACATCCTAACATTCAGAATATTGTAGCCTCCTGCTGATTTTGGCTAGTAAACTTTATCCCATGCTAGCAATACTTTTTTTGATAATGCAACACCCCCAGTCCATAAGAATGTTCTGCAAGTTGCTTCAATAATATAAATAATTTTTTTGGGCAGAATAAAGATTTGGGACTAGCAGGTTTGTATAGAAAACAAGACATTCTTTATTAGTTGAACTCTCTCAACATAGGATAAGTGTATGGCATTCCGTGAGGCTATTTTACCCAGCATATCATCAACCAATGGGTAACACTACATCATAGATAACCGTTTAGTGTTCAGCGGGACACCAACGTATCTAATAGTGTCACGACCCTAAACCCAGACCCGATCGTGATGGCGCATCTCGTGAAATCAAGGCCAGCTGACACATACCCAATTCATTTAAAGCAATTAAAATAACACAGATTAAGTCTTTAACATAATAAAAATCCCAAAATAAAGGTGAATAATACAATTTGCGAAATAGACATAGCCCGACATCGGGGTGTCACCAGTCATGAGCATCTACTATCCAAATGAAGACAAGAAAAGTCTACATAGTCTATTACAGAACTAAAATAGAGAAAATAAAATAGGGGGAGAAGCACTGGGCTGCAAACGTCGAGCAACTACCTAGTGAATCTCCGAAACCGCCTGAGCTGGAAGAAATCAACACTCGCTAGCGGGACCTGAAGCGCCTGAATCTGCACACAGGGTGCAGGAAGTAAAGTGAGTACTCCAACTCAGTGACTAATAATAATAAGTGAATATTGAGCGATAAGAAATCACGTAAAAGCACATCAATTTACTATAAAGAAGTAGTATAAAACTAGTAAAAGCAATGAAACAGTGAAAAAAGACACCTTAGTTCAAAAGAAGCTTATTTGAATCACCTTTTTAATTGTTAAACAATTAAATAAAAAGCAGCTAGAAAAAATAAACACATAAAATCCACCCCTCGGGCTCAATGTCAATAGAATTCGCCCCTCAGTCTGGGGGTGTACAGACTCTGGGAGGGCCCCCTTACGGCCCAAGCGCAATATCAAACCATATCGTGGCGTAATCAATAGGCTCTCGGCCTCATATCAACAAGCCACCTCGTGGCGTACAATCTCAGGCCCTCGGCCTCATAATCATAAATCAGTGTATCCTCACCATACAGGCCCTTGGCCTTACTCAGTAAGAATCTCATAAGCCACTTGGGCAACAGTAAAACATGATGCACAACCCAAATTATCATTTGGAATATCATTTAATATGTTAAAACAGAGTAAACATGGCTGAGTTATGAAAACAGTAGAATATAGCATGACTGAGTACAAGTATAAAGTCAAAACAGTGAGGAAATATCAGTAAAAATCACCTAAGGGTCCAAACAGTTGGCACAAGGCCCAAATATGGCATTCAACCCAAAACATGATGATAATAACTAGTTTTCAATCAAATACGCGGTAAAACAGTCATTCGGGATGGACTAAGTCACAATCTCCAATGGTGCACGACCCCACGCTCGTCATCTAGCATGTGCGTCACCTCAATATAGCACAACAATGTGTAATCCAGGGTTTCATACCCTCAGGACAACATTTACAATCATTACTCGCCTATATTCGGTCCAAATCTCTAGCCCGCGATGCCCTTGCCTCTCGAATCGGCCTTCAGATGCTCCAAATCTAACCAAAATCAGTGCAAAACCATCAAAATATGCTAAGGGAACAAAGCCCACTCAAAAAAATCAAATTACAACACAAATCCCGAAATTGGCCAAACCCGACCCCGGGGCCCACGTCTCATATTCTGATAAAAATTACATCAATAGACTCCTTATCACTCTCTGAGTTCATTCAAATCAAAATCACCAAAATCCAACCTCAAATGATCCCTCAAATCCCAAATTTTAGGTCTCCAATTATAAGCCCTAGTTCGTCAGTATTAGGCTTAAATTCCATGATTAATTAGGTGCAATTCATATTAGAATCGAGTATTAAGTCCATAAATCTTACCTCCAAGAGTTCCCCCTTGAATCCCTCTTTAATCCTCTTCAAAAAGCTTCAAAATCGCCCCAAAATGGTGAAAGTTAGCCCTAAAATCGTGGACAATGGCTATTTAAACATTCTGCCTAGGCATTCAAAACCTTCTTCGCGAACGCGGTCAAAGCCTCGCGTTCGCGAAGCACAAACTAATGTTGACCAAAATTTCCTCCTTCGCGAACGCGTCTGACCTCTCGCGAACGCGATGCTTCCTGACTCCAACCTTCGCGAACGCGGCTCCCCTTCTAGTGAACGCGTAGCTCAATGTCCCCAGCCCTTCGCGAACGGGGGACCTCCCTCGCGAACACGAAGGCCAAATCTTCAGCCTCACCAGATAACCCTTCGCGATCGCGAGGGTCCACTCACGAACGCGAAGCACTGTTGTCTACAACACTTTAGCAGATTTTCTGCAACTTTCAACAACTTGAAATGGTCCATTTAACCACCCAAAACTCAACCGAGGCCTTCGGAACCTCAGCCAAACATGCCAACATATCCCATAACATTATTTAAACTTGTTCCAATCTTCGAAATGCTCAAAACAACATCAAAACACCAAATTCGCATCGGATTCAAGCCTAAGAATTCCAAAATCTTCCAAATTCCGCTTTCGATCAAAAAGTCTACCAAACCACGTCCGAATGACCTGAAATTTTGCAAACACATCCCAAATGACACTACAGACCTACTGCAACTTCTGTAATTCCATTCCTACCCCTATATCAAAATCTCATATATCAACCAGAAAACGCCAAAATTCCAATTTTGCTAGTTCAAGCCTAAATCTACTTCAGACCTCCAAAACACATTCCGATCATGCTCCTAAGTCCCAAATCATCTCTCGAAGCTATCCGAACCATCGGAACTCACATACGAGCCCTTTAACAAATAAGTCAACATCCAGTTGACTTTTCCAACTTAAGCTTCAACAAAAGAGATAAGTGTCTCAAACCTTACCAAAACTTTTCCGAACTCGAGCCAACCAACCTGATCACACATAATACAGATAAGCAAAGCAATAAGAAGCAGAAATAGGGAAAACGGAGTGGTAACTCATGAGACGACTGTCCAGGTCATCATGTCCTCCCCCTCTTAAACAAACGTTATCTGCACCGCATCTCCGGCTCGGTCTCCTAGGTATCCTCCTCTACGGACCGACCTCTCCACTGCACTTTCATTGAAGCTATATCCTTTGATCTCAACTTTTGAACGTAACGCTCCAAAATAGCTACTGGCTCCACATCATAAGTCAAATCACCTTCTAACTGCACCGTACTGAAATCCAG